ATTGCAGCACGTATGCCATCACTGGGTATGCATCAGTTAATCTCTTTTCAAAGTCATTGTAAGCATGCAAGATAACTCACAATCCCCATCCAAACAGCACCAAATTGCAAAAAGCTTATGCTTTTCATTTAAAAACACCAGTATTTATTTAAATATAACAATATTTGTATAGCAGTTAGCATAAAATATCATAAAATCAATTGGCCTATCCAAAAAATGTAAACCGTAAAGTTTGCAGAACTTTTTCACACAGCTGTAGTTTGCTACTACGTCATGATTGGAAACTGCTATTGATTTTCATCACCTGTGGGTTTAAACCTGAGTGCATTAAACATAATAGAAAATGAGTTGTTTGTGTATATTGTGGGTGTGTAAATCATTAATTATGACATAGCATGATTTAAGTACGATTCAACCAACTCTCAAAAAGTTATTTGTTGAACTAAATATATAAGAAAAGATAAAGAGCATGAGTTATGGACATTTTACGTCTATGATTTAGTTACATTTTGCTATTGCATCTTTAAAAAGAAAACTATTTTGATTTCCTTTTTGTTTTGATCATAACTATTTGGGGTTTTATTAAAGGACAAGTTTGTCTCCAATTTCTTCTGACTAACCAGATCTCATTTTCCTTTGCAATGAACTACTTAGAAATTTTATTCATCACTGCTACATTAAAATTTGTTTTTATACCCAGGGAGCTGGTGTTGAGTTATATCCAGGAAGTGTGGCTACCTTGGAGGATAACAAAATTCACCATTGCAATAACTTCAGAATGAGTGATTCTTCACGGGGTAGTCTTGGTGGAATTAACATAAAGGTAAAATCATTGCTGACAGAGGATTGTCACTCAAACTGGTGCTCACGTAGTAGAATCAGCCAATTGTTTCAACTTTCAATTTGCTTTTTTATTAAACTTCATTTGCAGATTTCAATAATGAAGGTTTTTCAAATGGTTGCTCTTTCTGCCTCAGTCACATTGCTAACGTGAAGAACAAATAAGCCAATATTTTTAGACTTGTGTGAGGTAGCTGGTTTAATGTACCTATTTTCTTCCTTAGCACCTCCCTAGTTCACAAAAATCAAAATAAGAGTTGGAAGGGACCTTGGAGGTTCCTCTTCTATTCCCTCATCTAAATTGTTTATGAAGATATTGAAGGGTACTGGGCCTAAAACAGAACCTTGGGGTACCCCACTGCATGCTCCCCCTTCTGTAAGTTCCATCAGTTACAAATCCCTCTGGTGGTGATGCTGTCTAACCCATACTTATCTGTTCTGACCTCCCTCGTTCCACACCAAAGCACACTCCGAGCCAGAGATAAATTACGGCATTTAATTAACAGACAAACAGGTCCTTGGCAGCAACCCGACACAGACAGGTTTGGGCAGTAATAAACACAGATAAGGCTTGGCAGCAATCCAGCCTGCCAAGCTTCTAACAATGTTCTCCGACATTCAATCCTGTGTTGACTTCTGC